GTGTGGTCATGGTACAGGAGAAAGATGAAATGATGAAGGGCAATCCAGATCTGTATTTCAACTGTGCCACAGTAAGCTCATTTTCTCATTTATTTCCTTTTTTATTGGGTTTGTTTTAAGCTTACTATAGGCTTAATATATTCAGACCTCAATCACTATGCCAAGACCTCATTGACTACTTATTCCCTTATTGTTTTCTTGCCTACTAACTTCCTTACAGATATGTAAACTTCTTGATTGTTTGTCCTAAATCTTTAGTTAAAAAAGTATTACAAAATTACAAGAGTATGATTGGTAGACAATAATTTTTATCATTGGGGGTTGGTATCTAATGCAAGGGAGTGTTGGATGATGTGTCTTTGCTTCTTGATAAAGTTGATTATTATTGAGTGGATTTGTTAGATTTTGTTTGTGAAATTCACAGCTTGATTAGGCAGTGGGTTGTATGTGTAGGCCTTATTTAAGGGGAGATGATTATAAAAATCCTTGCCTTGCTTGTGGATCCATTGAGAAAGTATTGGGCTATCAGCTGGGAAGGGGAGTGGGCGATCCACTGGTTTGTTTCCGGTTACTATTTGAGATTCTTCTAGTTGTGAAACCTATGCCTTTCAATGTACAGTATCATCCCGCCCCCCACCCCCCACCCCAAATAGGAAGGAAGACACCTAGGAGGCTGTTGCGTGCTAAATATTGGTGCTTACACACTCTTGGAGTCTTGGTTATCAGTTATTCAATATAGAGATTCTTACATACAGATCTGATCTAGACTTGAGACCATTTTGAACTCTTGCCTTTGTTCAGATATTATCATTTCTGCCGTAATATATACAAAATGTTAACTAACGTATGTCTAATTACTGTTTAAAGCTGATATTGTCTATTTCTATGGCAATAATATGAGAAGCTTTCTGCGTTCCAACCATGAGTTCTTTCTATTTCCACCCATCCTAGTAGTCCTCGTCTTCTGAGTACTATCATTTAAAATACAATTAGCATAAGCATATGGCATCCTGAAGTAGAGAGTTGACCATTGTTGGCTTGAATCTGAAAAGGCAGTTCTAAACAACACACTGAGAAACAAAGACATGCATTTGTGAAAGCTGAGGTTGAGTTGTATGTATATGGCTTACTTTGTTGAATGGATCGTGGTTGATGTGCATGTGACTTTTTTTTTGGATTGGAGCAAGGTTTATCATTGCTCATTGAGTGCAGCAGGATAAATTACTCTAATCCTGCGCTGCTAGTTTGATCAAGGTCATAGTTTGCTGATTTGAGTGCAGAATAATTAAGTGCTTGCTTTCCAGGCCACTTCCCATTTTTACCTCTATAGATGTAATTTTATTGCATTAGATGATTGGCTTGACTTCAAAAATACTGAAAAGTATTTCTTTCAGGTGAACAAGTATCTCGAGAACTATGACAAGGCACTAAATGGATTTGAAGCAGCTTGTAAAATTGACCCTGCTCTAAATGCTTCTGGCGAGATCCAGAAAATGGTCGGTCTCCTTGACAAATTGGAGAGCTTACTAAAGGTTATAATTTTTCCTTCAAGTCTCAAATAATTAGAATAGATGCTATTTACATCTGAATCTTTTATCACTCTCCAAGAGAGGATTAATACTGGATGGTAGTTGCTAAAAGTAACAATTTGGTAATGAAACTTTGAGGACTATCCTTCTGTTCTTATCTCTACTTGCAATTTACTTATGGTAGAGATTCTTGGACCTTGATGATAAGAGATGGTAAGAGTAGAATATGAACTGTTGAGAGATAGAGATCTTAGATTCTTGATGCATTTAATTTAACAACCTTGATGGTACTGATCATTAGATAACATTTTTCCTGACAGAGACATATCAAAGCTAAGCGTCTTGCTTCTCTTGTGTCCTCTCTAGTTCCTGTTGAAGGTAAGCCTCCTGCCTTATATAGAAAATCTATGTTTCTTTTTCCTCTATTTATATATTTAAAAAAGGACTTAACAGCTTGCCATTTTGATCCAGTGAATCTCTCATACAAAAAGGCCACGATAGATCTTCTGTTTGAAGGTCTGAACAAGTCAACAGCAGTTACTGGCAAAGTGCTTTTCTTTGTTAAGCACAATAATGTTGCACCACTGTGAGTCCTCTTCTCAAGAAATAACTTTTTTTGCATATATTACTACATGTAATAACCTATCCTCTTTCCTGCTGCGACGAGATTATAAAATGTTCCATTCTGATGTTCATTAGCTGACAAGTAGCACTTCACATTGGGTTAACCAATCAATGAATAACAGGTTCTTCTCTTATTTTTATTTTCTCTATGTGTGGGTAAAAGGGTGGGTGATTGTTCCTGGCATGTGTTCATAACTTCATATCCATTTGTTTTGTCACTGGTAAGTGTTGTGCATGCTTTAAATGTTGCGAAGCAATAATGCCTTTGCTTAATCCAGTAGAAAGGGAGTTAGGCAGTTGCCTTTCCCCACATTTTCGATGGCTTACCATGCAAAAAAATAAATCAAGCAAGCTTGCCACTTGCTAGTTTCCAGGTGACTTAGGGTAAAGAGGGAATTAGAGAGTGCAATGTTTGCTGTTGGTCTTTTCTAGACAACCCTCTGCTTTGGGGCCCTTGTTCATGTTTGAAATCTGTGTAATGCTAGTGCTTTAATGACGAGTCTTGTATCTAATTTCAATGTATGATTGATTCTGCAGATATTATGTAGCATGTGATTCGAATCAGATGTGTTTTGTCCTTTCAGTGTATGGGATACAGGACTATGTGGTAAGATGCCATATTTTCAGCAGCCTCTACTTTCATGCGTTTATATACTCCCTAACTAATTTGAAGATCACACTAAAGAATTTATATTACTTGATTTGCTACAGAAAAAACTTCTCTCTCTCTATTTTTTTCTTTCAAGGGGTAAAATTCTGGATAATTATCTGAATCTTAATCTGCTCCCTGCTATTACACTATAAAGATACAAAGTGCTTGCTGGATAGTCATTTACATGAATGTAATTGATTGTCATATTTCATCTACTTATATGTCAAGCAAAACAAAATAAATTTCATTTCAAGAATACTGCTCCGAATATCAATCACATTTGTACACCCTACATAGTTGTTTCTTCAGTACAGTTCAACCAAATTTGTGTACTATTGCAGCCGAGATTTATTTAACCTGATGGAGTAGTGGAAAATTCACATATAACTTTGATAAGACTTTGGGCATTTGTGAATAACTATGTATTTCCGTGTGGTGAACAGATCAGGGAGGGAGATCAGATAACGTTGCTGGAACCTTGGTACAAGAATGTTAACTTTTCTTGGAAAGGAAAAGTATGCTGCAATTCTTAATTTTACTTGTGCCTTCAGATCAACTTCTTGTTGTTTTTGAATATGATGTTTTCTTTCATGCTCATCCTGGCTCTTTTTTTCTTACTCATAATCATTTCAGCAATACTCGTTTAAGTCTATTCGCGCTGATTTCAAAGAGCAAGTGATGGTGAATGGTAAAGCACTGTCAGCAAATCAAGCAATAAGTACATCATTCTATGCACAGCATAAGCCCACTTAACCTCACCAAGTCGTTGCGATTTTGAGTATATATCTGCAACTACATGTGAAGGGGTGCATTTTAGCTATCATAGTGACTTGTAATTTTGTACATTGTGTAAACTAGCCAAAATCATTTAGTATAATCCAAATATAGGTTTACTCCAGCGCTTCCCTGTGGTTATTGTTTACGTTTTATGTATTCATATTCTAATTGGACATTTGTATAAAGTTTTGATGTGCTTTGTGTGATAAAGTGAATACATATGATGATATGAATAGATGAAATCATGAAATATGACAATCAATTAATTAATGCTTAAACATGGCTAAATTACAAAAATGTGTTGGTTTAACAAATACTCCGTATTTCTCTATATGCATTTTTTTTTTTCTTCATAAAAACGTAAACTGCTAACTAGTAGGTGGTTCGTTTTAGTAAACCTCTAATTTTTTTTTTGTTTTTTGGAGAATTTTCATTTTAGTAAACTGGTAATTCGCGGTCTATTATTGATGTATTTATTATAAATTAACAACTAGCATGTATATTTTGTTCTATTTCCTTTCAAAAAAATTTGTTCTATATTACAGTATGACTTTCAAAAAAAATAGTAACCACAATGATATTGAACAAACTTGGATTAAAAGTTTTTTATAATTATCTTTTGGAGAGTTATAAAAAGATTTACATAGGTGGATGATACATACTACATAGGGAATTATTTCCTCCGTTTTTTTAACATGACATGTTTTATTTATCATGCTTGCCAATGCAGATCTTTAACCATCAATAATTTTAATTCGACATAATAAAAAGTTTTTAAAGTTATATATTATGAAAGTATTAATTGAGACGATTCTAACAAGATCTACATAAATATGTTTTTTCTTACTCTATCTGTGTTTTAATAAGTGTTACATTTATCAAATGTGGCTGACTGATAGTGTTTTAATAAGTGATACACTTTTTTGTTTTTATTTTTTTTTAAAAAAACACATTTTAATATTATATCTTTCTTTTTCATTGTTTTCACCTAAACAATTATATTTTTTTATTATTATTTTCCTCACATATTTATTATGTGTATGTCAAAGGTGTAACACTTATTAAAATACGAAAGACGTACGCATATTTCGTAATTCATAAAAAACCTATTAAAAAAAGGATAAAAAATAATGTAAAATTAAAAGCGGATCAAGTTTAAAAATAAATAAAAAAAACCGAACGAACTATTTATAAAGGAAGCATATTTGTAGAATTTGAACCCTTTTTTACATTACAAAGGGAAACTGTTCGTGTAAGAATATAAAAGGAAGGGAGGGCCCACTCAGTAACAAACCAAGCCACACACAAGTAGAATTCCCGCCAATTCATAACAAACCACTTAAAGAATCTTCTTCACTCTTCCCCTTCAACAACAACCTCCATTTCCCAAAAACCAGAGACCTCAAAAACGCTCAACAATGGCGTCCACCTCCATCACCATTTTCTCTATCCTCACTTTCTCTCTCCTCATTCCTCACCTCACCGCCATTTCCGACGAAACCATCAACAACGCCGCCGAAATCCTCTCAAACTCTGGCTTCAATTCCGTGTCCCTCACCCTCCCTTTCATCTCTCAACCCCTCATCTCCGCCGTAACATCCGCCACCCTCTTCACTCCCTCCGACTCCTCCTTCTCTCTCTCTAACTCCGGCCAACCCTCTCTCTCTCTCCTCCAATTCCACTTTTGCCCTCGCTTCTACTCCTTCGTTGACCTTCAATCTCTCTCTTATGGAACCCAACTCGCTACTCTCCTCCCTAACAATTCTCTCTCCATTACTTCCTCTGATTTCGATGACGATGTCGCCATTAATGGCGTCAAGCTCAACAACTCCCCTGTTTTCGATGATGGGTTTTTCATCATCTTCCAAATCGACCGTTTCTTCAACCCCAATCTCACTGTGGGACCCACCACTGAGTTGGGTAGTCCGAGTCTGAGTCCGATTCCGAGTCCCCCTGAGTGCGCTGCCTTATCGCCTCGCTCCGGTAAGTACCGAGACGCTTCGGGTTCTTTAAGGTCTAAAGGGTACTCATTAATGGCGGCGTTTCTTGACATGCAATTGACCCAATTCGATGACGACGACGACAAATCGTTGACACTGTTTGCACCAACTGATGCATCAATGGAGGGGCATTTTGGGAAAAATAATTACAGTGAATGGGGGTCGATTTTTCTGAGGCATACAGTTGGGTGTGAGCTGAGTTGGGGTGATTTGATTGGTCAATTAGATCAAGGGTTTGTGATTCCAACTTTCTTGAAAGGGTTTCAGATTAATATTAGTCGGAGTAATGTTTATAATTCTGCGTATTCCTTGATGATTAATGGTCAAGTTTCTGTTGATTTTCCTGAATTTTATCGTAATGATGGGATTGTTGTTCATGGATTAAGTGGTGTTCTGGTTTCGCCTGCTGTTAATGAGGAGAGAGAAGATGCTTACTCCCCTGCTAATGGCTTCAAGGTCGATGCTGATCATATCGAGTTTTGATCGTCTTTTCGATTATTTCGACTCGGTTTGTTTGATGAATTTTAATCTTGGTTTAGTGAGTTTTACGAGTTTTCGTCTCGGCTCGGGAAGTTTTGAGCTTGACTCAGTGGGTTTGATGAGTTCATGGTGGTTTAGAGAATGTTAGAATGTCTTCATAGTTGTTGCATTTGTTTTGATTGTGTAAAATGTCATTTAATTTTACTGAATTGTGATTTAGTTTTAATGTGAATGTTGAAACTTGTAATTGGACATGTTCATGTTTGATTGAATAGATATGATGATGTTTTTTTTTTTGGATTGTTGTGATTATATAATAGTTATGTGGGTGATAACAGTTATGGCCTAAGTAGTGAATTAATGAAGTACACTCTTAGCTTACAAAAACTGATATTATATGATATGTATAATTTCACTATAATATTTGGTAGAACGTATATGCAAAAAATATGATAATCCGTTTAAATATTTATCCGTCTCATAATATTTAGACGGATAAATTTTTAATTAGAAAATAACGCGTCAAAATTTACCTATAGTATAAAGTTGTAGATATGCATGATTTAGAACCATCTGGAAAATCGTAGACCCAATTAAATTATTGGAAAGAAATCCTATTCGGTAATGTTTATCTTTTCAAAAGAAATCCTAATGTATATCTATGTTTAAACGGTGTAGTAGTACAATACAATTAAGATTACAAACTACAACATTCTAAATATACATGTTCTCAACCCGAATTATTAGACTAATATAAGATTTCGAAAAGATTTGAATATTTTCTCTCCTTTCCTTTGTTCATTATTCATTATTGAAAAGAGGTTGTCGAAGATGATTTCGTATGGGGAGATATTGTTGGAGATGGATTCTCTGAAGGAGAGATTGTTGGAGATGGATTCTCTGGAGGAGAGATTGGTCGATAATGCCCTATTTCTAACACTTTTGTTTCATGAATATTTTCTATCAATTTATGAATCTCTTCTCACTTTTTTCATGTTTTTGTTGAAAGGTGACTCCAAAGCAGTGGCCAAATGGAGGGATAAACTTGTTCTGATTTTCTATTATCAGGTATTAACAAGCACTAAGACCCTGTTCTTTAGAGCTTCTGGGCAGAGCAGAGCAGAGCAAAATTTCAGTAGAGCAAAGCAGATTTCAGGAGAGCAGAGCAGAGCATAGCAGATTCCAGCATTATTATTATTAATATTAATATTATTATTATTATTATTATTATTATTATTATTATTATTATTATTATTATTATTATTATTATTATCATTATCTCAAAAGAGACAAAGTCATACAACCTACAAAAAAGTAGACAAAGTCATACAACCTACAAAAAAGTTAGTGGGAAGCCGAGATACAATCTAGACCCCCACTCCTCTAGCTATAGCAAAACCTATTCTAGTGAAGATATGAGCAGCAACACGTGCCCCAATGTCTTGAGTCTTCGAGAACTTCTGAATCCGCTTCAGCAATGCAACCGCCTCCTTCTCTAATTCCCCAAGTGTAGAGAAAGAGAAAGGAAGGAAGCCATATCCAATTGCCCGGCAACTGGATTCGTACTTGACCCGCTTCCGATGAGCTGCATCAACCACAATCCATCCAGGAACAAAGTCAAATAACCCAGACTGTGCCAAAGGAGAAGAGCCTGTCAAGTCAACACAGACATCGCGACCACGATCCCAAGAATAAAGTAACACATCTGCAGGTCTGAGAGCCCCGTTGTTCCCACCAGACAACCCAATGTCAACCTCCTTTCTAGCTGAAATCCCAGAACAATAACAAACATCAACAAGGGTATCCCGCACAACATTATGCCGATGTTTAATACCCACTATACCAGCACACGACACCGTGTGATCACCGAAAAAATCCCCAGTAACAACCCTTGAACAAGCAGAGCACGGCGTCGAGACAGAGAACAATGGAACACCCAAGCGGTAGCACAACACACATCGGTAAGTCTTTGCGTTCATCGTCTGACCCAACCCCGAAATAGGAATTGAACCGCCCGAAGCTAAGCAGAGGTGTGATCTCCCGGCCTGCTGCGATTTCCACAATGCTGATTGACGAGGAGATAAAGAGAAGGTGGATTCTGCAGAATCAGTAACCTTTGTGAAATATATATCTACCAATTTCTTCATGAGTTTAGGGGTAGTGACATCACTAGGATTACTCAAAATGTCAGACTGCACCGTCTATTGAACAGGCTCAACGCATCCTCAAAGGCTCGGCCAAGGCCAACAAAGCCAGCATGTTGTAGAAGCTCTATCTGCAACCTAGCATACTGTAATCGCGAAGCAAGAAAAGAATAATGACGAACATCACCTGCGGAATAAACACCAAGCCCGCCATACGCAAAAGGTAAGGTGGCAAGCCGCCACTGCCAATCGCCAAACCCGAGCCTTGAAGTAGCAACGATACGCTCCAAGGAAGATCGAAGAGCCTCGTCGAATGTGCGTTGAGCCACCTCAAAAGTATTAGGTGGACAAGTATGCAAAGCAAAGTAGAGTTTAGAAACTCCGGTACAAGCCCTAAGCAACAACAACTTGCATTGAGGATCATCAAGCTTAGCAACCCTATCCATAAGCGCAATGGTCTTGGTCACCCTCTGCATCACAAGCTCACCTCCAAAACCGGAATCGGAATTAGCAGGACCACCAAGAAACTTAACACCACGCAAGGGTCGAGCAATATTAGGTGGAAAGACACCCACAAGCCTGCTTCGAGGGTCTTCTGTAGGCCAGAAAACTTCAGTTATGATTATTATTATTATTATTATTATTATTATTATTATTATTATTATTATTAAAAACAGACTAAGTCATACAACCTACAATAAATTAGTGGGAAGCCGAGACACAATCTGGGCTCCACTCCTCTAGCTATAGCAAAGCCTACCCTAGTGAAGATTTGAGCTGCAGCACGAGCCCCAATGTCCTGTGTCGTCAAGAAACTCTGAATCCACTTATGCAACGCAACAACCTCTTTCTTTAATTCCCCAAGCGAAGAAAAGGAGAAGGGAATGAAACCATATCCAATCAACCGACAACTAGCTTCCTATTTCACCCGCTTCCGATGAGCCGCATCAGCCACAACCCGTCCAGGAACAAAGTCAGATAGCCCTGTTTGTGTCAAGGAGAAGACCCTGTTAAGTCCACACATACATCGCGACCACGATCCCAGGAATAAAGTAACACATCGGCAGGTCTGAGGACCCCGTCATTCCCTCCAGACAACCCTATGTCAACCTCCTTTCTTGCTGAAATCCCATATATGTAGCAGATATCAGCAAGGGTATCGCGGACAACATTATGCCGATGTTTAATACCCACAATACCAGCACACGACACCGCGTGGTCACCGAAAATATCCCCAGTAAAAACCCTTGAACAAGCAGAGCACGTCGTTGAGATAAAGAACAATGGAACACCCATCAGGTAGCACAACACACATCGGTAGGTATTCGCATTCATCGCCTGACCCAACCCCGAAATAGGGACTGCCCGAAGCCAAGCAAAGGTGTGATCTCCCCGCTGTGTTTCCACAATGCTGATTGCCAAGGAGACAAAGAAAAGGTGGATTCTGCAGAAGCGGTAACCTTTGTGAAATATATATCTGCCAATTTCTTCATGAGTTTAAAAGCAATGACTTCACTAGGATTACTCATAATTTCAGACTCCACTATTCCATTAAATAGACTCAACGCATCTTCAAAGGCTCGTTCAAGACCAACAACGCCAGCATGTCGTAAAAGCTTTGTCTGCAACCCAGCAAACTGTAACCGAGAAGCAAGAATAGCATAATGACGAACATCACCTGCGGAATATACCCCGAGCCCTCCAAACGCAAAGGGTAAGGTGGGAAGCCGCCATTGCCAATCGTCAAACCCAGGCCCCGAAGCAGTTATAATACGCTCCAAGGAAGATCGAAGAGCCCTGTCGAACGTGCGCTGAGCCATCTCAAAAGTACTAGAGTTACAAGTACGCAATGCAAGTAAAGTTTAAAAACTCCGGTACAAGCCCTAAGTAACAACAGCTCACACTGAGGATTATCAAGCATAACTACCTTATCCATAAGCGCATGAGTCTTGGTCACCCTCTACATCACAAGCTCACCACTAAAATCGGAGTCGGAACTAGTGGGACCAGCAAGCAACTTAACACCACGCAAAGGTCGAGCAATATTAGGTGGAAAGACACCCACAAGCTTGCTTCGAGGGTCTTTTGTAGGCCAGAAAACTTCAATTTTTTCCACGTTAAGATGTAACCCAAAATGAGGCCCTTCCTCCCTAATCAACTGCAGAACCTTCCCCACCACCAACGTGTCACCAATGATAGTGTCTTCATTCATTACCAGGCTTGAAGACATACGTCAAAAGTGTCTCTGATTTTACACACCAAGGGTTGTAAAACCAAATCAAAAAGAAGAAGACCAAGGGGATCACCCTGCTGCACCCCCTGAGACGACCATAAGGTGTGGTCCCCATAATACAATCTAGCTGGATTAGAATAGTAGAATTCAACCCATCGCGAAAGGCTTGGACAACGACGACGAACTTCACGAAACATGACCGCACGATCAACTAGATTGAAGGCATTTTGAAAATCCACATACAACATAGAAAGACCAACATCGGAACCACGATCCTCAATCAACCGATTCACAGCATGAAGAATCGCCTCACCTCCCAAAGAAACCCCAACACCAAATTGGAGACCATCAAAGTAACTTCCTAAAGACTGGCCAACCATAACAGCACCGACCTTCGAAACGAGACGCCGCCAAACAGTACCCACAGCTGTAGGACGAATACCATCACCAGGCATGACAAGTGGTGTAAGAGGAGCACTAGCAATATACTCGCCTAGTTCCATAGGACACTTTCCAGCTAGAAAGAGATTAACCACCCCGGAAAACTAACTCATCTGATATAGCTACAACAGCACCACTCAAGCAATCCATAAGGTGTTGAGCACGTAAACCGTCCCTACCACAAG